ATTTCCTTGCATAAAGCCATATATATATATCCCTCTGTTTTGAATAGTATGAAATATGTTTCTGTCAATGCAGTACAAATGGTTTAGTTCGCAAGTCCGAAGATAACATTCAATACACAAAAATATCTTGTTCAAGCACATTTTAGTGCAACCACTTCACGTCCTGCCCCTTGCAAAGAAGATTTTTAAGTTTTTGCTATACACATTTAAGGAAAATCATTGTCCAACGGGGCTGGGCCAATTTTGACCCCAGGGCTTTTTACTATATTCATATTGGGAAAATCAATGACCCCCTGGGGCAGGGCCAATTTTGACCCTAGGGCTCTTATTTGAACAAACTTGGTAGACATCCATTAGAACATGTTTCATGCTATATATCTTAGCTCAAGCACTTTGGGTTCTTTAAAAGAAGATTTATAAGTTTTTACTATATGCATATAGCAAAAATAAATGACCCCCTGGGGCGGGGCCAACTTTGACCAAAGGGCTTTTATTTGAACAAACTTGGTAGACACCCATTAGAAGATGTTTCATGCTAAATATCTTAGCTCTAGCTCTTTGGGTTCTTTAAAAGAAGATTTTTTAAGTTTTTACTATATACATATAGGGAAAATCAATGATCCCCTGGGGCGGGGCCAATTTTGACCCTAGGGCTCTTATTTGAACAAACTTGGTAGACATCCATTAGAACATGTTTCATGCTAAATATCTTAGCTCTAGCTCTTTGGGTTCTTTAAAAGAAGGTTTATTAGTTTTTACTATATGCATATAGGGAAAATTAATGACTCCCTGGGGCGGGGCCAATTTTGACCCCAGGGCTTTTATTTGAACAAACTTGGTAGACATCCATTAGAACATGTTTCATGCTAAATATCTTAGCTCTAGCTCTTTGGGTTCTTTAAAAGAATATTTTTAAGTTTTACTGTATGCATATAGGGAAATCAATGACCCCCTGGGGCGGGGCCAATTTTGACCAAAGGGCTTTTATTTGAACAAACTTGGTAGACATCCATTAGAAGATGTTTCATGCTAAATATCTTAGCTCTAGCTCTTTGGGTTCTTTAAAAGAAGATTTTTAAGTTTTTACTATATGCTTATAGGGAAAATCAATGACCCCCCGGGGCGGGGCCAATTTTGACCCAAGGGCTTTTATTTGAACAAACTTGGTAGACACCCAATAGAACATGTTTCATGCTAAATATCTTAGCTCTAGCTTTTTGGGTTATTTAAAAGAAGAATTTTTCAAGTTTTTACTATATGCATATAGGGAAAATCAAAGACCCCCTGGGGCGGGGCCAATTTTGACCCCAGGGCTCTTATTTGAACAAACTTGGTAGACACTCACTAGAAGATGTTTCATGCCAAATATCTAAGCTCTAGCTCTTTTGGATTTTTAGAAGAAGATATTTAAAGTTTTTTCTTTCGGTTGCCATGGCAACCAGAGTTCTGCATGGAATTAAATTCTTTGAACAATTTTTAAAGGTGACCCCCAAAGGAACATTCCTGTGAAGTTTGGATGAAATTGGCTTTGTGGTTTATGAGGAGATGTCATTTAAAGTAAAAGTTTACGGACGGACGGACGGACGCCGGACGAAAAGCGATCACAAAAGCTCACCCTGTCACTTTGTGACAGGTGAGCTAAAAATAGCTCTAATTTGAATTTTATGAGCTTTTGTTCTTTATTTAACTACGGAATGAAGCTCATAAATATCAAATGTTTGCTCGGACGGACGGACGCCGGACGAAAAGCGATCACAAAAGCTCACCCTGTCACTTTGTGACAGGTGAGCTAAAAAGGGGGAAAACCTGAATTCAAATACCAACAAGTGAAAAAGAAATTTACCCACACATTTTACAGTTTTATGAAAAAAATATCAATTCAATTTAACATGCATGGTACATAGCAGAGACAAACTATAGAGATAGCTTTTTGTCTTCAAGCTGATACAAGTCAGATGCTGTTAAGTCATGGTTCTGGTTGGGAAGAGCATGAGGCATTTTAGGGGAAAATATACCTATTTTGGGCTAGGGGAAACAGCCTTTATTCGGCTGTAAAATACAGTGAAAAAAATCACTGGACTCAATAATTTAACGCTATATGGGCAAAAGTGTTAAAATCTATTTTTTGCGCTGACTAGCTGATTAGATTGAAAAAGCATGTTTATTGATAACAAGTAAGCAATGTGACATACCTAATTTGCTTTCTGCCCTTTTCTCACCAACTATCACATCCTTTATACGTTCCTAAAATTGAATTTGAATTACGTTTGAAATTCTTAAAACAAGATTGCATTTGTGAAAAATGCTATGCCACCGCATCAATACAACACTAAATAGTAATGTAGGAACAGAATATTTTTGTTTCTATACAAATGAAGATTGCCATAATGCATAGATCACTGACCTATCTAATTCTTATTATTAGAATAGTGGTTAAATCTATAGTTATTCAAATAAAAGATCAGAGTAGGCATCTATCAATGCAGTTGAGTCTAGTGAATTTGGTGGTGAAGGTCATATTTCACATGGCCAAAATTCCATGACTGTGCATCAAAGGACAACACAGTAAGACACTTTGTCAAAATCTAGGCCAGCTGATATCAAAGTTCACTTTACATCTTAATCTGTGCAAATGGTTCAAATTTCATAGCTGCACATGAAAGGACAAAAAAGTAAGTCACATCATCTGATATCAAAGTTCAATTTTACAAATAAAAATGTGCACATAGTCCAAATTTCATGGCTGTACATCAAAGAACAAGAAAGTAGGTCACTGTCCCATTGGGCAAGGCAAAATTTTATACCAAGGGTTTAATTCAAACAATCTTGATACAGGTCCACCCAAACAACATTTCATGTCAAATATCTAAGCTGTAGCTTTCTCCAATTCAGAAAACATTTGTTTAAGTTTCTGTTTTTACTATGTGTACATAATGGAAATCAATGCCCTCGGGCAGGGCCAATTTTGACCCCAGGGCTTTAATTTGAACAATCTTGGTAGAGGTTCACTACACAATGTTTCATGCAAAATATCAAGCCCTTGTCAATTTCGAGAAGATGATTTTTTAAGTTTTTACTATATACATAAAAGGAAAACCTATGACACCAGGGGCAGGGCTTATTTTGGCGCTAGAGGCAAAATTTGAACAACTTTGGAAGAGTACCTATAGATGATATCATATACCAAATATCAAAGCTTTAAGCATTGTACATTCAGACAAGAAGGTATTTTAGTTTTTACTATATATAGTGAATAGTGAATATAGTGAAAATCAATGACCCTTGAGGCGAGCCAATTTTGACCCAAGGGCTTTAATTTGAACAATCTTAATAGAGGCCTACCAGACAATGCCTTATGCAAAATATCTTTGCTCTAGGCCTTGTGGTTCTTTACAAGAAGATTTTTTTTAAATTTATTCTTATAATTCCTTTTGGTTGCCATGGCAACCAGATTTCTACATGGAATGAAATTCTTTGAACAACTTTGGAAGCCCTTCATCCAAGGATCAATCCTACAAAGTTTGGTTGAAATTGGACTAGTGGTTTTTCACAAGATGATTTTTTTAAGTTCACTCTTTAATCTATAAAACACAAAAACATACACACATACATACAAACACACACACATCGCAGATGCTGTGGTGGCATAAAAACATGCTTTCTCCTTGAAATTGCAATGCTATTATTCATGTCATTAATGATCTTAAAGATGGATATTATAAAAATAAAAAAATTTAAGAAGCAATCTAAGTAGGTAGTAAGGAGCATCCTCAATGCTTATCATTAACAAAATTGTATTGCAAAAATATTCTATGGCAGGTTAAAAAGAATTAATGTCAAATCCAGAGCAACATACATGAATAATACTTCAATCATTAAGGAACAACATTCAAATTGAAATTATTAAGTGTACTTACTTTAATCCAACTCTTCTTTTGCAATTTAGAATTTTAAGAACTTCCCAAAACAAGTAAAAATGTGAAAACAATTAATTTTTCAGTTTGATAGTAAAGTTACCTGTCTAAGATTAATGGCCTGATATGTGTCTGAAAGTGTTGTAATGTTGTCTTCTGGCTCTTTTGCATATTCCTTCATTTTTTCTTCATATGATTGTTGTGCTGCAGACACCATGTTCTTTTCGTCAACTTCCATGTCCAATTCATCTGCAAGCACATGTGTACAATTGTTGTCAATAATCAAATTTCTTCCTGATTTCTGTTGTCGTTTTTATTATACACATATGAAATATTTCATTTACATAAGTAAATTGCACTTACTACAGTGTTTCTGCCAGCTCTGATTTATGGAGTATCTTTTTTGACCCCCTGTATTAAATTTTAGGGATCATTTCAAATTCTTATAGGTCATGCCAATAAATTGAACAAAAATGTAAAGAACAACAGATAACACTTTATAAGTTTTATTTTCTAAGGCACTTTACTTCTTGCCAGAGAACAGGCATCTTCCTTTGGATTCTTTTCATTTGTTCACTGCCTGAGCAAACTCAAAGTTCTCAATATCTGGACCAAAACTTATTCTCATCAAAATATTAAGTCTGTTTGAAGACAACATGTTTCTTCCAGAGCCTTTGATGGTTATCTTGATACTGAAACCCCTTTCACCTGTGGCAGTCTTCAGTGGGGCCAAGACTGCTACCATTGCAAGCTTTACTAAATTGGGAAAAATGGTAGGATGCTGAACACTCAGAAGTTTCATGATAGACTGCAGAGTGTGACATGGATATCTTTGCTGTACAATAAGGTCCTTACACTTTTCCCACTCTAGTAAAGCTTCAGTGCCATCAATAAAAGGTTCTACCCCTGTGTCAGAATTACAAGTACCATAATAGGACACCAAGGTCTGCATCTGACTAGCTCCATACTCTTTTCTGTCTTCTAAAGATGGCAAGGAGAGACACAATACTGCCATATTTGACATAATGTTGTTTGCCTTAGCTAGAAACCTTCTTTCTATCTCTATAATCAAAACTGTGTACGAATTTTCTTAAATTGCTGTCGAAAAACTGGTGTGTCAGTGACTCTGACTCCCTTAAATTCTGTGAGTTTCTCAGGTGAAGCAACTGACATTAAATTAGACAAGTGACTACCATCATTCATCTTAAGCCATGTAAGTTGTTGCACAACACTTTCAACACTGGGTCTTACTATGGCAAGGTCAAGATTATCCTTTTGTAGGAACATGCTGAGTTGTGTAACATTTGGAATACATCCATGAGTAAATATGTACATGCAATAAATGTAAAAATGGTTATTTTTTAAAAGAACCCCTTTGCCACATTGTCATTTTTTGATTCCATTTCAGATTCAAGTAAGTTGCAAGAGAACCCCATGTTCTATATACAGCTTCTAAGGCAGCATACATTGAGAACCATCTCACACTGTGAAGCTCTTTATACTGTAACTTGAATTTCTTTAACCTTCTCCCTACTCGGAGCAGACCTCTTGAAATGATAAAAGATATCAGACAAAATTTTCTGGGAATCTTTTATGTATGCTACCTTATCAGCTGCTTGGCTGGTACACAGGGCAAGCCTATGTACTATACAGTGAACTCCTATGACATATGGTGAAACTTTTTGTTTTACCAATGCCATAAAACCATTCTTAGAACTAAAGCTCCATCAGAACCTACAGAAGACATTTTCAAACTTAACATTATGCCTGTCAAGTATTGATTGAACATTTTTGAAAATAGTATCTGCAGTTCTATCTGGAATTTGTACATTGTCTACAAAAATGTCTTTCAATGTCAAAGTTTTCAAAATTTAACTGATTTTGCATAGAGAAGTAGTTTCTTCTCCTTAGAAATATCACAGCTTTCATCCAGCATTATAGAAACATATGGACTAGAAGAAAGTGTGTCATCTAAAGAATCTTGGAGAACACTGGCCATTGCATTTCTTCAGCAGCGTAATCTGAGCTTTATGTACCAACCTTAAAAAGATGAAGAACAAAAATTACTTTGCATTTTTTAATTTTAAATTACAATTTACTGTAAGTCATAAAAATTAACCCCAAGAGAACCAACCCCATTTTCTATTTACAGCTTCTAAGGCAGCATACATTGAAAACCATCTCACACAACAGTGGGTCTTATCATGGCAAGGTCAAGATTATCCTTTTGTAGGACCATGCTGAGTTGTTATAAAAAAGTATTAATTTTGTTTTCATTGAACTGATTATATAAAATAAAACTTATAAATATTTTTGCTATTTTAATTGTTTTATTTTTCTCTTTAATTCTACCGTACACATTGTATTTATTTCTACATTCTAATTTTTGTATGTTGTTTCATTTGCACAGAAAACTAGTTACTCTTTTTTGTGAATAAAAAAATATTGTTAAATATTGTTTTTTTGGGGTTTTTTTTTTTTTTAAGTTTATTTTGTCAATTTATTCACCTGCACCCAGTTGTATAAACGTTGGTTAAATTAACCCTGGGTTAAACGCTAACCGTGGGTTAAATTTAACCAACTTTGGTTAACTAACCAATTTGGTTAGTCACTTGTATAAACCGAGATAACCAAAAGGTTAACTAACCAAAATGGTTAAAATTAACCGCTGGTTAAACTAACCAATACTAGTCCCGACATGCAATAAATTCTATATCCGGTTATGTCATTTTCGCGGAATATGTCAAAATTGACACATGGTTTACGCTTCCATTTTTATTGCAATCGAATATTTTCATAGTAGAGTTAAAATCGGTTCAAGTTTAAATGAAGATGTTAATTGTCACCACACTAATTACATATCATCATTAAACAAATGCACAAAATATAACTTTTACGTAGGATGAACTTGTTTATGACCTCGGAACTGGTGTTTAGGTATCAAGTATACCACGAATAACTTGCATGGTTGCTTTGGGCTTGTTTACAAATTAAAATGTACTGCAAATGAGCAAATATTCGCTGATATAATGTTATAAATCAAAATCATCCGTCAACTGGGACAGAAAATGGTTAGAATGTAACTAATTTCATACAAGAACCACTCAATGCAGAAGTATTGACGCATATATTTTCTATCAGATTCGTACCTAAAACGTTCGAACCCAAAATATTTTGTGTAACAGCAGATGCAATTTTTGAATGATTTTGTCCCAAACTACTCTCTGTATTTTTACTATATAATATATGAAACTTCTGTTTCAGTTACTAAATACCATATCAGTCACTTAGGGAAATCTTGTTGCATATGCCAAAGCTATGTTTCATGAAATAAGAGCTTTTAAAATACTGAAAGTTTACCATATTATAGCAAAATAAACAAAAAAATAAAAGTCTACTTATTGCTAATTACCCTCCCCCCCCCGAATACCCCCCTCCCCCCCCCAAAAAAAAAACAACAACAAAACAAACAAAATATATGAAAAACACATAAATGAAAACAAAATCATTTTTGCTTTCTTGTGACTGTATGGCTGACATCCTTTATTTTAAACATTCAACATGTTTTACCTTCAATTCTCCCTAGTCACAACACTCAAATGCAAAATTGACTTGGTTCCCAGCAGTAAATTTACTAAACAGAGGAGAAACTAAATGATAAATAATTATAAAAAAATGTCATCTTGAATTTACCATAATTAATTAATTTATGAACTATCAAAAGTGACTTTTAATTTACCTCTACTTCAATTTTGAATTATTTTTATTGATGTTGTTTAGGAATTCTAAGATCTTATATATTTATTACTTATACATGGATCTTGTAAATACAAATACTTAACACTTAATGAATGATTGGAACCTGTCACTGGCCAACATTATACTAGTCCAGTACCTTTAGGAATAGGCTATATGTCATTGAAGTAGGTAAACCAGGGTTTCAATATATATACATAATGTAATGAATAGTGTATGACTGTTACCCTAAACAATAAGTTATATATAGTTTAATAAGTGCATAGTCTATATCTGGTTAAAAATGAAAAAGTGTCCAAATATGTTTTCTAGAGTTCTATCTATTGTTAAAATATTATAATTTTGTAAAATATTTTCATCTACATTGAAAGTCTGAATAAATTATTTAATAAATAAAATACATCCTCATTGAACAATGGAATAATGGTCTAAATCTCTCTCTTCCTCCCTCTATTTACTGCTTATTTATTAACCCCCTCCCTCCCCATCTAAGAAATATCAAGAGTAACAATGGGGATGAGATATTGAATAATATCTCCACATGGCCATTTCCAAGGTATAATGCTAAATATGCTTTAATAATGCTTTTATTCATCTGAGTTCAATCATAAATATATTTACTTTCATAGTTTACATTGTGTAAAGAAGAAGTATTTTAGAGACAAAGCAGTTTAATTCAATATAATAATAATAAAAGAAATAGACAAAAGTACATGTAATTGTAGAATCAAAATGTATTTCTGTTTGAGTACACATAGAATATAAATATTAATGTTAAGAATTGCCTTTTTCCCCTTCAGTACTATATTGTGTCACATTAAATCAGACCTAAAGCAGCTTCCTATCCAAAATATTTTCAATACTTTATAAGTGAGAACAAATATCCCGTTGTTCAGTTAAATTCTGAAGAATGTGTCAGTGTGATTTTAAAATATATGAGCCTAAATTTAGTTAATCTGAGAAATATATGAGCCTTAATTTAGTTAATCTAAGAAAAGACCTTTATTGGGAAAACATTGAGGCTATTTTGGGACATTTTAAAAGTTAAAAGTTAAAAGGTTGATAAAATAACTTTATAATTTGTCATATATTGTGTGTTAATTCATGATCATGAATTTACAGCTCCTGTATAACTTTCTTTAAAAACTAAATAAAAACAGTTTGATTTTCATCAGAAGATGACATTGTTTCTTTTCCCTGCTACTAGAAATAAACAAGCCCTTTATCAACCTTTGATGAGAAGACAAATTGCCTAAGTCATCATTTTGGAAATTTTGCTGATAAAATTAGGAAAAAGCAAGTTTTTCAACAGGGAAATCTTCCTAAATTATTGAAAAAAAAATTATTGTACTCTACCAAAAAAACAACAACACACTGTGACACCTATGTCTGTAACGATACCGGAATGAACTTAATCAATAACTAACTTTATTGCATTGGATATTCCAAATTTCAGTTTGATTAGGAATTTTTTTAAAGATTGGGAAATAATA